ACTCAATAGTACAATGAGTCAAACAATCATGAGTCACCACCTGTGCTGTCACAATAGCTGTATAAAATATGACACACTCATAGTCAAAATTCATACAAATGTTAAATGAGAATTTATATAGTTTCTTTTCCTTAAGCCATTTGCTCATTGGTATTGTATAGCCGATTCATATACTGACATCTTGTGGGCGTTTTGTGTTATTGCACCATGTTTTTCTGCATTTCCCTCCCCTTGTGTGTAATGTACCGCCCTTCTTCTCTAGTAGTCATTTTAGTGTCATGGCTACTTGTAACAGAACCACATGCACATGCTAGCCTGGAAACATTATCATCCTTAACCTTCAAATGCCATCTATTCATGCATCTGCTGTATCCTGTTGTCTGCTGTAACCTGCTGCAGTGAATAAAGGATTTTGTGGATGTAAAGGTATTTGGTGAGTTCAGCTATCTGATAAGGATTTTCCGCAGTGATAATGTCTGCTTACACAGGCCAGGCATAGAGGTCTCAGCAAGGGATAATTATTTAATACAACAATCGCAGTCAGAATACCACCAGTAAAACAATACACTGAATCAATGATCAGGTTGCAGCAGTGATAAGAGACAGACAGCCGGGGACAGCAGGAAGATAAGATAAATTACACAGAGTCTGGATTAGAGAAGATCCTCATTAAGATTGATGTTTTACTGGAAAAAGGTGATAAAAAAGGGAGGAAAGGGTTAAATACCCAAAGTTAAAACTAGCAAAAATGTTAAAATTTTACATAAAAAAACAAACCCCAAACCCCTAAAATACTGAACACCCAATTTTTTGTTAAAATATAAAAGATGAGGTTACATCAAATAAATAGATACCAAACATGTCAAGTATTAAAATTGAATGCACCTGTGTGAATGCGTGTGAAAAAGTATGGTTCACAAAATTGTCTATATATCTGTGAAGGTTCTCATTCATCCAGATCATAATATATATTTCTGAATTGAGAAAGCTGGTCGGATGACCAGTGAAACGTCTTCAAGAAAAATACAGCAAGTCCAGTTGCCTTGACTTATTTTTTACAGATAAAAATGTCTATAGGTGATGCTTTAAAAGACTGTACAGGTCATCAGTTTAGAGTTAACAGCGAATTATGGCCCTAGAATTGTCGCTCTCACTTAGATGTTTGTGGTGACACCTAACATGTGTGGTGCAATCATAATTGCAATCAAAATGTGCAATCATAATTGCACTTTATTTACATGCAAATGCTGGGGGCGGCAGAGATGGTTTTCATTTTTTTGGGTTTTATTTATGTTATTATTTTTCACTTTCTTTTCTACCTAACTTTATTGCTGTCACAAAGGGGCTAACATGCCCCTATGTGATAGTGTTTGGAGGTAACAGGCTATCTTTATAGAGACATCTGGGGTCTATCAGACAATCGAGCACGGTATTATGCTCGATTACCTGTGTACCTGGTTTTCTGTCAGACCAGCCGATCTATCAGATTAACCAATGTCGCCACTTCTGTTTACGGGCGATCAGCTGTGTCAAAGTGTGTTACTGCGCATGTGCACCGCATTCTGATGAGCTGATGTCACAGCTAACATTGGCAGCAGTTACATTTGTCCCTAGTGTTTAGAGCACAATAATGATTGGATTTGACTACCACATGTACTGTGCCCACGCTAGAAAAATTGCGTCGTTATTCCCACCCAATCGCTGTAAAGACTATGGACAAAACTGACCTCTAGCAATGTTAGCTGTGACATCACCTCATCAGAATGCGGTGCGCATGCGCAGTAACATGCTTTTCACTGTCACAGCTGATCGTGCATCGCCAGAAATGACGACATTGACTGATCTGATAAAATGGCTGGTCTGACAGAAAACCAGACGTGTGGGAGCTCTGAGCCAAGGCGCTGCCTCACTGATCAAAGAAAAGTTCCCCAGGAGCTGCCACCCTTCTCTGAATCAGAGTCTTCTGATTCATATCTTTTGATAAGGTTCAGTCAGCTCCATGTCAGCAGACTTAGCAAGTGATCAGAAGAATCAATTCATTTGAATGAACCGATTCATTTGAAAGATCCGAACTTCCCATCCCTAGTGGACGGTGGAATACTCAGCTGTGGGCAGGGGATAGGCAGTGAGGGCGGCAGAATATTCAGCTGTGGACAGAGGGATACACAACCGTGGGCGTTGGAATACTCAGCTGTGGGTGGTGGAATACTCAGCTGCGGGCGAAAGGAATACTCAGCTGTGGGCGGAAGGATACGCAGCCATGGGCGGTGGACCACTCAGATGTGGGCCGAGGGATACACAGCTGTGGGCAGTGAAATACTATGCAGTAGGTGGACTTTGCAGTGGGCAGAGGTGACAGTTATACATTTTGTAAAAGAAATGACAAGGAGAAGATACCGTTGCTGTTTCTCTGTGTTTTATTTGGGAAGGTGCACCACACTTATACACGACCTATACTCATCCTATAGTAAAAGCTGGGTCATGAAATAGTTGTGTGAACGCTGGACCTAATTGTGTGCCTGCGATAGTGACAAAAGTAGTAGGCTGCTTTCACCCTTCGCAGCCAAGGCGTTTATTGCACACGTTAACCTTTTTTGCTGCCATTGACGTAAGGAATACGGTGAAACAAAACTGCTTGCACCTGGTCAGCTCAGTATCCATTACATCGGCTGCATCCCTCACTATGCAATACATTCACTAAATCGGTCAATGAACTTACAATATAATCGTCTTTCTTACAGTGCTGATTAAATGAATAGCTATGATCAGCGGCTGACAAGCCATTGGTCGTAGTTATTCATTCAAAATGTGACACACACCCTTACCACTACTACCACCACCATCTGCTCTGTCCAACACAGATATTTCCCAGTGGGCGCAGACAAACAGTTCCATTCTGCACAAAGTGAGTATGATGGGGTGGGGGAATACCCTTTCTAAACACTTTGCCACAGGAGCAAGGAGATAGTGTTTTTAATATTTTTGTTGCTTCTACTTGTTACTTGTGCTTGTGCTTTGACATGTTGAGAAAAGACATATAATGATATACTGATGTGTACACTTTCATAATAATTACATGTTTCTGTTTTCCTGAATAGACAATTCTGAGAATATATTTGAATCAATATGGTGATGACCCAGAAACCAATGTTATTAGTGTATTATTAGACTTATTTGAACTGTTAAATTTAACCATGGTAAATAAATCTTTTTTTTCTTGTTTGTGCGTGTGTGTGTGTACATAGGGGGGCGCCCTTATTTTCTTAGATTGTGCTAAAATGCATCACGACTCTTATTTGATTAAAAAATCTCAAAGACCCAAGGAAGTAGACCAAAGCCTCCACAGACAATGTATTTGTGCTGTCACAGCTATTGTTTAGTTAGTTTATATGCTGCCATTTTGTTGTTACATGGTTTCCCCTTTTCTGTATTTCTTCCCCTTGTACAATGTGACCCCTCCTCCTTCCTGTGTGTTCGATTCAGCCATTTTCTGGCCACATCTGCACATGAGAAGAAAGGCATAGCACTTTTTTTTTACCTGCAAATACACCTTCTACAGCCTATTGTCTTCTACTAACCTGCTGCATTCATTAAAGATCTTCATGGATGAAAGGTCTTTGGTAAGTTCAGCTATCTGATGATCTGAAGATTGTCCACGGTGATTGTATTTGGTATATACATGCCAGGAATAGAGGTTTCAGGAAGGGATAAATCAATTTCAACAATTGGAGTCAATGTAAGTGACATTCTAAATTGTGTCTTGAAATGGACTACGATTTTTGGAGTATACTGTGTATTGTTTTATAAATAGTGATGGGCCGAATACACCTGAGTTCGGTTCGAGTTTGAACTTTCGAACATGGAAAAAGTTCTAACTCGATCTTCGAACTCAATGAAAGTCTATGAGACCAGAACTCTGAAAAGCAAAAGGAGCAGTGATTTTAACATTGCTTAAAGTGAAACAATAAAAATGAAAAATTCCTTTAAATATTGTGCCTGGGGGGGTCCCCTTAAACTGCCTGTAAAGTGGCACATCTGTACATTTCTAAAGAAACAAATGACATTTGACAGATGCCAAGACAAAAAAAAAGCGTGGGGTTCCACCCAAAAGTCATACCACACCCTTAACCCGATAGGAATTTTAGGAGGGATCCCATTAAAAAAAAATTAAGTGTTTGCGGTTCCCTCTCAAGTCATACCAGGCCCTTAAGTTCTGTTAGGGATTTTAAGGAGGAACCCCAGCCCTAAAAATGGGGAAAAAGACGTGAAGTCCCCCCTAAAATTCCCAACCAGACCCTTGATCTGAGCACAGGCCTGGCAGGGCAGGAAAGAGGGGAGTCGAGCGAGCGCCCCCCCCCCCTCTCCCTACCATACCAGGCCACATGCCCTCGGAACTGGGAGGGTGCTTTTTCAGGGACGCCCCTGGAAAAGCACCTGGTCCCTGTGCCCATTGGAACAAGGGCCTCTTCCCCACAAGCTTATTCACATTGTGGTGAAGGTTACATGCTCCCTTATACTCAGGACCATGTACAGTATTTTAGAGGGCTCTGTCAGATGAATGGAGCAGCAGGGGAGCAGTAAAGGAGAGTATTACTGAGTGGTCGTGTAAGCTTTTAAGAAAACCTGCCACTTTGCCAAATGATGCATTTGTTCCTTATAAATTACTGTTGTCTTGAGGGTAGACTCAGAACATGGAAAGCATGTGTACACTGCTATAACTAAAGTAGGCAAGAAAGTACATTGGCATATAAAATATATATTGGATTGAGTTTAATGTCTTCATGCATGAAATCACTAAGGTTACTTTTGCACAATTTGAAGTAGAACAAAAGGCCAAACTTTTTTGATAGTGAACCACCAATTCGAGATTAGTATGCTTTTTTTTCTTCCATTACAAGAGTATGCATGGCACTTGTGGCTATAAATGCCCCACAGTTTAAAATAGTCCAACTATATATACAAGGTTGTCACAGTAAATAAAGATCAGATAAGAGCAGAAGCTAGGATTCCTCTACATCTCTGGTTAGATTTACTCTAACCATGTTTGTCGGCTTTGATATACCACATCCACGAAGTCCAGCTACAAAAACCTGTGGCTTCGGGACGTTGCTCGAATTGTCCTGTTTTGTCTGCGTGCCCACTTGCTTTGGAAGATACACCTGCGTAAAGTTCTCTCTTCTCATGTGGCTACCATGAGTCTGCATGGAATGTGTCACTTTCTGTCGCAAATTGGTCTGCAAGAAACAAAATGTAAACTGTGTTGTCAGGACAGCACGCAAGTAATTATATCCAAACTCAAGCCAATTAAGTAATATCTGGGTCTGCTCCTGTGAATATTCAGAATATACCAGAAAATAAGACTAGGAGGTACGGCTTGGCAACTCAGGGCCATCCCTATAATGATGCAGCCTGAGGCCGTTGCCTTAGAGGGCATCTCATTGGGTCACGTGGGGGCACAAGTGTGCCTGCCAACCTCTGTCCAGCCAGGGCGTCCCAGGTTGCGATTAGCTTTCAGCAACCTGTGACGCTCTGTCTGGGGTCTCGCCCAGCTCACTGATGTCACTGGTTGCCAGGAGCAGCACATTACCGGGGGGAATTGGGGGGCTCCAGCTCTGTCTGGCGTCCTGCACAGCTCACTGATGTCACTCGTTGCCAGGAGCAGCACATTACCGGGGGGAGTTCCCAGGAGCGGTGTGGAACACTCTAGCTGGCATCCCTCACAGCTTCTGGCAACCAGTGATGTCAGTGAGCTGGGCAGGGCACCAGCCAGAGCTGGAGCAAAAGGGAACCTTGCATCACCCCCCC